TTTCTGGGTTGTGGCGCTGTGTAGTCTGGTCGATGTTAACCAACGTTTCAGAGGTCATACTGCCTCCGTCATCAGGGCCCTAATGACGGAGGCAGTATGACCTCTGAAACGTTGGTTAACATCGACCAGACTACACAGCGCAACAACCCAGAAGACGGAAATCTTCATTTAAACTTTTGCTACGTATCTCTTGTCCACATGAAACTGTTTGTAGGTGAACTGCAAAAAGTTTAATTATTACTCGATCAGTCCCAATTATAGATTTCGAAAGTGAGAAATATCAGTAAAACCACGTCCTTGGGGCAGGCACAGAGGAGATGCAGCCTCGGTATGGAACAAACCAGCCTAAAGTAATGCAATGTAACATGGGTTCACGCCCGAGTAAGTCGGTAGCCATCAGTCTCGCCATCTGGTAACGAATCTAACTACTGGTGCACGGTGTTTTGGCTCTGTGCCCCTCGACCGCTCTCAGTTCACTCCACCTCCTACGATAGGGGTATCCAATGAGTGAGAAGAGGTCAAAAGCTTGATCTGTTGGGGCCCGTTCGTCGAGCTAGTCTAAAAACTAAAACATTGTGGTTTTAAAAACACAAGCGATGGAAGAAATATAATAAAAATATCAAAATAAAAATAATAAATAAATAAATAAAAGTACAAAGCTGTAGGCATTTTGTGTTGAGATTTATTTTAATGTAAATCTTTTCAGGGTGCTTTTGCCATTTCGCGGTAGAATGTTAATCAACTACATGACCGTATATACATATAAGCACTTTCTTGACTGAATTTACACCCAAAACAAATGCTCACATAATCACTGTTCAAATATTGACATTTCCTCTCACCAGGGCAATGAAACAATGACAATGATGTTTTTAACACTATGATTCATACTTTCGAAAACTCTTTCTGTGCATTAACAAATCGATCATAATGTCGCAGTTTCCACGTGCCATGAAATAATGTTAACAGTAACTAACAGGGAGTAACATGACAGGTTATATTGATCCATTCGTTAGTTCTAAAACGAGTATCAACTTCGTGACGATGGTGAAGAGTCAATTGAATAAAAATTTACTTGGATATTATCCATCGTCTAGTAATAAACGTCCCACGGATGGATGGTGTGGTAATGCCTTTTTATTCTGGGACTTTCACTTTTTAATTTGTCCGGAGATAGGGATTAGCTCTATCTAGTGGGCCCAACTGAGTAGGAACCTGAAGACGGAGATAGAGCCCCATCTCCGAAACGTCGTTTTACGTTTTTTTACGTTTTATTACTAGACGATGGATAATATCCAAGTAAATTTTTATTCAATTGAAATTGTTTCTGGTTTACATATTGAAACGTATCGTATCATATAATACAATAAGTGAACATATCAATAAATTCAAATTCGTAAGATGTACGATCGTATGATTTCTAAAAAAAAAAAGAGATATGTATGATTTGTGGTTTTCACGGCTGGTGAGTCTGGGTTGTTGCGCCGTGCAGTCTGGTACAAGTTTACCGACGTTTCAGAGGTCCTTGCTGTCTCCATCATCAGGGCGCTAAACACAATTAGCAAAGACTACAAACGGTTGAAATGAGATTTTTAGAGTCAGTCGCAGGTTCCACATTACAAGACCAAGAACGTAACAAGGGAATCAGAAAAGCACGAAATATGTTGTATTAATTATACAATGAATAACAAAATCAAATGGTAATAACACGACGCCTACTAAGAAGGAATACAAGTAGAATGCTGAAAAATATATTATAGTATACGAGGCTGGTGAACATTTAGCGTTGATCTCATTCGGCTGTCCATAACGTCGGCCCAACCTTCAGAACTGTCACGCGTGCACAAGATGATGTTGGTCTGAAATACACCGGACATAAGGCGGTTTGCTACACTTTGGACGCATTGTGACCTTTGAGTCTCGC